AGTGCTTGATTAGTTCCAATATGCGGACATAATATTTTAAGGATTACTCTCTCAGGCGAAAAATATATGTCTGTAAGTGAGGATGCCTGAATTCCTTTCTCATAGTCCCAGAATTCATGTTCAATCTACCGTGTTTTTTCCATCAGTATCTTCAGAGGAAATGGTGAAACAGAGAAACTGAAGCCTCCAGAAAGAGATCAACACATCAAAATTGAGGTATGCAGTAGAGTGAGATTGCACACTGTTTAGCTTGTTTATATCCTGCCTGGGAACTGCTCTAATTTCAGTCGCACTTTTTATTACCCCACAACAGCACACTGAACTACAACACTTCCCTGAACTACAGCATGATTAAAATTGAATAAAATATAATGAAAGACCGAGAAGCAAAGTATTTCTGAATGAAAAACAAACACCTCAGCTATGAGTTATGGTGAAAATACAATCCCTTAGCCAAAGTTGTGTCTGACTAGGATGCTTCATTTGATCAGAGCCAGGTGGGAATTTTCTTCTCTGAAAGAAGAGTTTATACTAGATAAGAGGGCTTAAGGTGCTAAACTGAAAATAGCTGAAGGGGTGACTATTTGCAAGAGAAAGTAGCTGCAAAGATGTGGAGTCAGACAGTAAACTGGCAGTCGGAAGGGTTTGAATAGGAACTAGGAAATGCTCAGAGAGACAGGCTTTAATACAGAACACTGGGAGTGAGAACAGAAGAAAAGAGGAAGAGCACTGAAGAGTAAGAGACAGTTTTGACTGTTTCTAAACAGGCATTTCATATACCAATATTTGTAAACCTGCTTATCTATCCATCTACAACAGCTTTGAGATACAAAATTAAACTCCAGCAATGTTGTAAAACTTCAAAATCCTATATTAAATTTGGCATTTGGACATAAACCACAACATAAGTCATTCTAAATGTAATAATGTTATCTACGCAATTTATCTGACATAAATCATAGCAACACTAACCAGACTCTAAATATGCTGGGCTTGGTCATCACTGCAGTTATTCCATGCTTTTATTTTACTGAAGCCCTAGCAACCCTTTGCAACTGTATCTTCAGTGCAATGACTTTTAAATAATATACAAATTTTGTGAGCCCTTCCTTCAACAACAGGAGGCAATGCTGTTATTTCCACGTAACAATTTCTGTACTACCTAAGAATCTTCCATTATAGTTAAATATACACAAGTATTCTTCAAGCAAAATAGTTCATTAATGAAATCCTATAGGCAGGGCATATATTTATTTATTTAAATCCTATGTGTCCCACCAGATGATTAAGATGTACAGCATCACAATGAAGCAAACTTCAAAGTTTGTTGCTGTGCTATTTACATGCATGTTCTTGTTCCACTGTAAGTGTAAAGGAAATCAAGCCTACTGGCAGTGAACCAATTAATGTAATTCTTAAGCCTTATCACTCTTATTTTACTGATACTGTAGTTTGTCAAAATAATATGTCAGCTACCTTTATAAGTCATTTCAGGGGTAGGCTGAGAAAACACAGTGGAGTAGTTCATAATTGCACATGTAGCCCTTTCAGGAACAGAAAACTCAATCACAGAATTTGGGACTTCACTGCAGAACAGA